GTTCCATCTTTCCATAAATACATGATGATAAGCTATTCTGTTTTTTTCTTGTTTTTATTTTAAATGGATCTTTTTGTCGTTGGATTCATTGTTTATCAGCTGGTCGACCTTGTAAATGTCCCTGCTGATATCTTGTTAGGCTCCTGCCTTGAAATGTTTAAAACCCTTTAAATATGTCACCGGTTTGAGCGCACAGACGTGGTTGAAAAGCTTCAGCAGAGCTGGATCTACTTTGCCAAACCCGGGTGGGTAACTTGGGTGGGACATGATCAGCTGAGTTATAAACTGCAGGTTGCTGGTTTGAGTCTCTGTCTCTCACATAATAATAAGAAAAACAAACACTTTTACTAAACTGTAAAAGTGTTTAAAACATCTTCACATAGCACACATCTGATGGATGGTGCTGTTACATTGTTCACGCAAAATCAAAGCAAGATGCCAACAGGTAATAAGAAGGAAAACACACTGACGAATGTTAAAAAACTCAAATGACCTGAAAGAAGATTAGCAGTATGATACAATTCAGAGAGCAGATACACAACCAGATAACCAGGTTAAAACTCCCTCAGACTGTTGTAACAATCTTTTGTTGGTGAGCACCTAAAATCAAACAAGTTAAGGATTATATGTCGCTTCAAATTCATTCAGCTATCTACCGTCAGCCCGAGCCATGACTCAGTTATTCACATTGACGCATTTTTTAATCTCTCAGTCTACAAAAATACTTATATATTGTTTACCCAATACTGAATATAACGCTGTATTGTCAAATTTGTGTTGTCTTTTTACATATGCATATTAGTGTGGATTTTGGCCGGAAGATATATTCAAGTGACTGTATCAGTGGCAACATACATTTTCTGTACAAAGTGCTGGATTGGTTATAATGTAACATGTGCATCGTTGAGGGTTCTTTTTCTGTGTTTATATTTTTCTAGGTCTTTCTGTACTTCAAGTACTCAACTCACAGTTCAGTTTCACTGAGACATTAAAGATGGTAGAAAAAAACAAAAGAAAACATGTGAAGTAAGAAAAACAATCAGATCTGATCAAATGAACTATCAAAGACTCCGTTTCCCAATACAGTCAATAAAACAAAAGACGTCTCTATATGAACTCCATAAATCCAGTGTTTGTCACTTGAAAGCTGCTGATGCTTTTGAAATCTTCAGAATATTCACACGCTGTGATCTGCAGTGGACGCTGGGATCATCCTGGACAACCTTCCAAACCAAACTGCCTTTCAGCAGGTGATGCACATCAGCCAGCACTTGATCACAACTAAAGCTGGAAAATAAGTAATTAAATAAATAAATAAATAAATATAATAAATCAAATGCTATTAGCTACTGGAGCTACATAATGAGACCACAAGTTAAAGATATCTTGAAACCAGCTGATCGTTCTGCATTTAACAATTTCCAGTAACTCTAAAAATAATTCCAAGAAAACTAAGTATAATGGTTTAACTGTAACCTGACATTTCAAACTGGTGAGGTAAGGGTTTTTCCACTGACCAGAGCTCTTTATGATCACCAGGAAGCACATTTGGAATTTAT